TGGGGGAGGGGAAAGATTGTCAAAATGTATGAAAAAAATTAAAAAGGAAAGGTAATACAATTTTTAAATATTGCATTTAGCAAAAATGATTTTGTTAATGAGAAAGGAGGTAGTTCACTAAGATAGGTTGTTATGAAGATGTCTCTGTTAATGAAGGCCATAACTTTGGGGCTGAGGAGATGGCTCACTGAGTGAAATGCCCAAGTAACAAGAATGATGACTGCTTCTGGTTCCCCAAGCAGCCTTGTAAAAGGCCCGGTGTGACAGCACACATCTGTAACTCCACATGAGAGGTAAGCCAGGCAGGCAGATCCCTGGAGTGTGGTGCTAGGCAGTCTAGGCAAGGGGTGAGCTCTGTTTTCAGTAACAGACCCTGTTTCCAAAACTGAGGTGGAGGAAGACACTTGACAAAGGCCTCTGGCCTCCACATGCGTGGTCCTACACACACACACACACACACACACACACACACCGAAGATTGGAACTACAATTTTCCTTCTTTAATTACAGATGTTAATATATTGGTAATCTGGACTTAGTGCTGAATTCTAGCTGCTGTGATACTAACCATCCTAAGGAACAGACATTCCTATATCAAGAACTGCAGAGAACATGTTTCTGTAGCACCATCTACTTAACTTCTATGTTAGCTATAACTTGTGTCCAATTTGACATCCAAAAATAAATGTGTTCACTATTTGATGCTTTCTTTGTTTATTTTAGGACCCCCAAAGAAGCCATTTTGTCTTAATTGCTGGGGAGCCATTAAGAGAACCAGTTGTTCAACATGGTAAGTCCAAAATGATGATAGTTTTCCTGGCTGACATTTTTTTCCTTTGATGTGTGTGTGTGTGTGTGTGTGTGTGTGTGTGTGTGTGTGGAGGGGGGGGGGGTTTTAACTTGAAGGGAAAAAACAAACCTTCATTGTCCACTAGGGACTTGAATATCATTTAACCAAAGTAGCAATGATTTCAATACTGTTTTGTGTTGCTATAACAGAATACGTGAGACTGAGTAATCTTTAAAGAAAGGAAATTTATTTTGGCAGACATCACTGGAGACTTGGAAGTCCAACCTGTGTGTGTGTGTGTGTGTGTGTGTGTGTAGGGCCTCATGTTATTTCAACTCGACAGAAAGTAGAAATGGGTATATGCTTGAGAGACAAAATTTGAGGAGTTGATATGCTTCATAACATTCTGCCGCTGAGGTAATAAAGCCAGTCTCTCCCCACACCAAAAATTTAATCCAGCCCCACAAGAGTGAGAACTCACCCACTGGAAAAGTTATTACCTCATCTTCATGACCCAGTCACCTTTTAATGGCCCCACCTCCCCATATGGCCCAAGGACAATCAGATCTTAATATGAATTGTGGAGGGGAAAATCAGTATGCAAATCATAGCCAACACGGCCCTTGTAACCAATTATATTTTTAGTGAAAAATATGAGCCTCTTAGGAATAATACTTCTTTGAAAATTTCTGTAATAGTTTAAGCCATTCTTGGTTGAATTACGAAATGAAGAGAGTTGGGCTGGAAAGATGGCTCAGCAGCACATGCTGCACTCACAGAGGACTCACACTTAGTTCCCAGTGCCAGAAGATCTAATGACCTCTTCTGGCCTCCTTGGGCATCTGCGCATATGTGTGCGCACATGCGCGTGCACACACACACTCACACTTAAAGAATAAAATAAATATTTTTTTCAAGAAAAGGAAAGAATTAATTATTGTATGAAAGAGGTAATACTGTAGTTGGAGCCAGAAAATGCTGGCATCGGGACAAAACCACTTTGGATCTTGATGTCCTTGTATCACTGACATTTGATTAAATAAGAAACATCTAAAAGCACCCAAGAACCCAACTTGTTATTTATACCTTTGTCTGCTAAACATACTGTGCAGTTCTCTAATTATTAAATTGGACATGATTTAAGATCTCATTGTATTCCACTACTTGGCATGATTTCCAAGGTATACACAATGATCTCAGATAAGCCCCAGCTAGTCATAAATTTAAGTAACACTGAATATTTTAAAAAATAATATTGTTTTTCTTCTAGCAGTAATTTCGAAGGGATATTAAATCATAAGCCCCTAGCTTGTGATCTCTCATGGTAATTTTGCGCGCTCCCTTTTGTCGTGACTGAAGAAAATGGTTCTTGGGTAAAGAAAGCTACAAACAAATGGCGTAGGGTCTTCAGCTAGTTATAGGCTGGAATTGGGGTAGGAAAAGCGTGTTTGTGATGAAAACCTTTTATGTTAGGCCCTTTCCTCCATAGCAGTCCTGCGAAACAAGAGCCCAGTTGAATGAGGATGACACAGCAAACTGGAAGGTTGGATGTATGCAAATCCTCTTCCGGTGCCTCCTAGGCGAGACACTGGGTATGCTTGTAAAAACAAGTTCACGTTCATCGGCCCAAGTAGACATATGTCTCTTGGACTGTCAGTGACTGATAGAGCATTTTGTTTGGTTTGCTTAATTTGCTTTTCTTTTTACATTTTTTTTTACCTTTTCATGCCCACAGGCAACCCCAAACATCCTGAGAGTATTTGGGGACTGGTTGTGGTTTGTGACTTCTTCATGCCCCATCCTCTTGTCACTGAGTGTTCTTAATGATGACCTTAGGCAAAGACGTCACAGCATGTTGGATTAGCAAACAACCATAACTCTGGTGGAGTTATGTCCCTCCTCCAAATGAGAAAAAAAATGCAGATATTTCATTTTCTTAACATACACCTTCATGCCATTTACTATTTGCTAAGTGTTGCTCAGAGTGTTTTTCAAATGTGAAATTATTTAGTTTTCAAAGCAACCCTGAAAACTTGACAGGGGTGGCAAGGGAATGACAAAAAGACACACGGACACACATACAGAAAGCTGGAATTGGGGGCCTGAACTTGACCTGATGGAGATCTCCATACGGTACACCCGACCTGGAACCTCAGCGAGTTCATTCTCTACAGCACAGGAGGAGTGGCTCGTCTCTGTGGCAGGTCTCTGTAGAGGTGCAGTCTCAGGTTGCAGTCACCACGAATGAGGAAGTTGTGGTTGTTAGTTTTTGCATGCACTGCAGCGTCCTCACACAAATTGGAGGAAGACTTGCCAATTTCCTGAGCCTGACTTTGAGGAAGATTTTGCCCATTCCCATGAGTCGGAGACATGGGTCCTGATCAATAATCTACCTTCACTCAGTGCATCCGCCTTTCCCTATAATGTCTTAGGTGACCCAAGGACAGTTTATAAAACTGAGAGGTATGGGATGGTGTCAAAAATAGACTATAGAAATGTCCTATGGAAAAAAGAGTTGAGGTATGAGCGTGGTGGGGCTCTGCCTGGGGAAACCATAGGGAATTATTGTGGATCAAGTCAGTCCTTGGGCCCAGTCAGTATTTAATCTGCTTGACCCATAAAACCTAAAGTATACATTCCCTGGCCCTTTGCTGAGTGAAAAATTGATTGACCCTAAGAAATAAATTGTTAAAAAGTGCTGCTTGACTTGAAGTTTTTTAATAAAATGTATTAACGTTGTGGTACTGGTAGTCCTTGGCAAGAGAATGGCCACACTAACATGATGCATCTTTTGGGAAGGTGGGTGAATAAGAAATTATGGTCAAAATGAAAGCTAAATCAGTAGAAACATAAAAAGAAGCATTTACAGGAAGATGAAAAATGCCTTTAATTGCAAGCACATGGCAGTGACTCGTGTCAGGAAGGAGAAACCAGCCAAACTTCAAAACTTGACCTCATCTGTGCTTGCTATAGGGTACATGGCGGTATCTTCCGGGGAACTGCAAAAGAACTGTTAATGTACAAGCTGTTCAAAAGCAATTAAACCCCCTGTTGGCTGTCATGCAGATGCTGCGAGTTTTCAAAACAGATTTAGAACCATCTCATAAATGCACAGCCCCACCCACAGCTTAGGCAGACGTCAAAACCACGCTCTAATCTAGGTGATTCATAAGCCCGGGCTGGTTCAGTTCCTGACGTCAGTTCATGTTGTACAAATAACAACTACAAAGACTGCGATGAATACAGGGATTGCTATCACTGGCGAGGACCCTGCCATGAGCAGTGGGACCTGACTGTGTTTCTCTACGTTTGGTCTGTACGATAATTTCTTAGCATATGCGGTTCTAGCAACTGCAGTCCTGTAGGACAGAGCACTATGGAAAAAGGCTGCGGCTGCCCAGCTATGCCTAGACTGTGTTTCAAACGAGGAGCTATAGTAATACACACCGCTTCCAGTGGTAGAAGAAAATGTCATCACCCAGAACTTTGTAAACGTCTCTTTCTGCCCTAGGTCCGTTTGTGATGAATACCAATGAAGAAATTTCTGAGGCCATTCTTGATTTCAGGAATGCAAAAAATGGTTTTGAGGGGGCCAAAACCTGGAAGTCAAAGATTGGAAACCAATGAAGAGCTGGAATTCTGCTGTTTGGATGGACTGACCATTCAGTGTATTCAATTTCCAAAGCTGGCTTAGCTGGTGCCTCTAAAGAATTTCACATTAAGCCGGGTGGTGGTGGCGCATGCCTTTAATCCCAGCACTTGGGAGGCAGAGGCAGAGGCAGGTGGGTCTCTGTTGAGTCTGACGCCAACCTGGTCTACAGGCAAGTTACAGGACAGGCAGGGTTGTACAGAAAAAAAAACCTGTCTTGAAAACCCCAAAATAAAAAAAAAAGAATTCCACATTAAAATGAAAAGATGTTTTTTGTAGTGAGTCATCAGAATGCATTATATACATGTATGAAATTGTCAAAGAGCAGATTTAACTATTTTAAGAAGTTAAAAGTAAAAAATATAGTAGTAATGCATGCAAATAATTCTAATTGTTGCTTCTTTAAAAACCAATGTTATTCATTTCAATGGAAATTATTGGGCTCCTATTAAAAACAATTGCTTATGTACATGTGCTTTTTATATGTGAGAAGATGCCCTTTTATGCTGTGGTCTTTGGGATTTTCTTAGAGCATTTTTATGGCTTTCGATGTCACTGGCAGCAGCTATGTGAGCATCTGAAGCTGTCCTCCTGCAGTTCAACTGCCACCCCAGCCATCACAACTGTGCTCCGGGTTTCATGTTACAGGTTATCTGCTTTCAAAAACACAGCAGCCCTGACCATATGAGTCAGCTTTGCAAACTGCCCTGCTATTGCTAGGGACACAGCGGGACTCCGGCCAAGACTTCCCCTCAGTTTTCTGCCAAAGTCTGTGTCAGATGTAAGACACATGCTCCCGCACGCTTCCTTGAAGACTGGGAAAAGTCAGAATCCATCGTTAGGTTCCAGCCTGCTGTAGCCGCAAGTGTCGGTGGTCACACCACCTCCTTATAAAGCAGCTAGAACCTAGGGCATAGGGTCGAGATTTTTTTTTTTCTTTCTTTTGGCTTTCTGGACACGAAATGACTGGAGAGTGATTTCTAGCATAAAGTGGAAGCCAGGGCCACCTCCTGATTATTTTTGCAGCAGGAACTTTTAAAAGGTTTTTTTTTTTTTTTTTTTTTTTTGCATCTTTCTCCCATACTAAGATTGTGTGCGGCAGGGGGTGTCCCTTGACTAACTCAAGTCGTTTTGATTACGACTGATCATGTGATTTTCCATGTGAAGTTTTGGGGTTTTGAACTTTGCTTCTGGAGAATGCCTTTTGCCCCACTTTTCAGGAGCTGCCTGGTGTCAAGCGCTTAGTCATCAGTGGCCCTTTAAAATATCCAAAATGTATAGAGAGTGGACAGTGATGAATGTTCTCATGATGTCCTACGTGTACCTGGTGCAGGGCTTCAATAGTGACCATGGACCAGTGAAGGTAGGTGAGCTCGATTTTTCATAATGTTTCTTTGTGTTGGTTTTCACGGAAGAAGTCCTTTGCTCTCACTGTTGTTGAAGCAATGTAAAAGCCCAGCCTACACTGAGCTTGCGTGTATTAATGACTGCTTTATTTCTTAGGCTTAATAATTTTTTTCCATGAGAGTAAGAAAATGTACATGTGTGTGAGAATGTGTATGATGGTGTTTTATGTATTGTATGTACTTGGAATGGGACTAGAACACGAGCCTTCTGGAAACCTTTGGCATGGAAATGCTTGCTCCCGTTTGTGCCTGCTGGTGGCACAGTGGCTTGCTTTCTGGTGAAGCTGTGGTTTGCTTTTATGACATACACACAATTTTGTGGGCCATTGCTTTTTAGGTTGGTTATGAGCAGCAAGCTTGAGTAATTTCTTCTGTAAATTGAAAATCACAGTGCTATTTGTGGATGCTTTCTGTCTGGTTCTGCAAATTAGCAATTGCTACCATCCAGGAGGGAAAAAAAATGTTTTCTTAGAGTCTATTTTTGGTTTTGTGCTTCTGCTTTTGAAAATGTGTCTAAAATTAAGCAGTTAGCAGATCTTTGGCTCTATGAACAAGCATCAAGGACAGCCCAAGAAACGGAGAATGGTGCAGAGAGAGTGAACTAGGTAGGGTGCTACCGATTGCTGGAACAGCATTGTCACTTGGTGGTTTGTATTTTCAAAGCCTTTTTATTTTTGAAAAGGACTCAGATGTAATTATTTTGATTGGAGTGCTACTAAATCATGGCTGATTTAGAAATGTCTGGCTATGACCAGACAGAAATCAGATGTGGGCTTGAGTTTTGTGGCACGCCTTTTCAATAGGGGGGCATATCGCCCCCCCCGGGGGGGAAAATTAGTTGATAAGGATGTGAACTAGTTTATGTAAAGCCCCATATGCATGTGGTCCATATACAGATAGTAAATCTACACCCAAGTTTCATAGGACAAGACTAAAGGGCTCCTGGCACTGGAATCTATGTACAGTTTTTACTCTGCCACCTATACTCCAAAGTAAATTTCCTTCACAATCCCAGAGAACCTAGACAACAATAAGGACCCTAAGAGAGACTTACATAGATCTAATCGACATGGGAAGTAGAAAAAGACAAGGTCTCCTGAGTAAACTGGGAGCATGGGGACCATGGGAGAGGATTGAAGGGGAAGGAAGAGGCATGGAGGGGAGCAGAGAAAAAAATGTAGAGCTCAATACAAATCAATAAAAAAGTAAATGTCCTTTCACCTCTAGCCTGAGATGGAGATTCACATCAAGGCTGGCGGCAGTCAGGGCGAGCTGAGGACTGTCCTTTCTGCCATGTAATCTGGGAGTTGCAAAGCTTGAACGGTGCAGTCTGCTAGACAAGAAACCTTTCTACCCCAATACAACACTGTTCGACATTTTCCTTAACGCTAGTCTTTAACCCTGTCCCCAGTGAAGTTTCCAGTGTTTGCAATTTACTCTTTTGTAGACACAGCTACCACAGACTCCTCTCTGAGTCCCAGGCACAGTGAAGTTTTACACATTTTGAATCTACTCCCATCTAACCTCCTGGAATGGGCAATGGAAGAAAGGGTCTGAGTTTTTATGTGACAGAAAATATGCCCTAACTGATGGCCGATGTGCAGCCCGTGTTTACTAACGTGCCTCTCAATGTTTCTCTTACATGCCCTACTTTCCCTTTGAACAGTGAAGCTACATGGGGTGACCTTACAGCCACTCAGCCCCCAGCTAAATGAGATTGTTTCTTATATGAAGGAAAGTGTTGCCTGTAGTCAGATACAAGTTTGGAGATACACATAACTGGGTGCTGAAACGTAATAGCGTACATCATTCAGTTTATATAGTCTCTTCCCCTCCCCACCTCCTTAAAAGAAAACAAAATCAAAGAAATCTTTTGTTGTCGTTGTTATTTTATTTATTTATTTATTTATTTATTTTTGAGATAAAGTTTCTCTTTGTTAACAGCTCTGGCTGTCCTGGAACTTGCTTTGTAGACCCAGTTGACGTCAAACTCACAGAGATCCACCTGCCTCTGCCTCCCGAGTGCTGGGGTTAAAGACATGTGCTACCGCTGCCTGGCTAGAAGTCTATTTCTTAGCATTGCTGTTTTCTTGTTTAAATTAAAATTTATCATGAAAACATATTCAGAGTAGTAATGGTTTAGGGCACTGGTGCTAGATGGGTTTTTCTTTTAGATGTAAGAACATGCCATTCGTTATGCAAATACATCATGGGCCCCCTCGGTCCTGAGTCTATGAGAACAGGCTTTTCTCACTCACCCCTTTCCCACCACATCTGTTCCAGGATGGCTATGATGCCAAATCTGTTTCCAGGTTGCTCCCTTCCCCTGGTCTAAACTTTACTTCCTAGCTTAGAGAATTGTCGTTATTTTTTTTTCCAGCTTAGACAGGCAGTGACTCTGCGCCCTTCTATGAATCTGTGGACATTTTTTCCCACTATAGGCATGCAAATGGCTCCTACCACCTAGGACAATTGTGCCTAATGCCATTCGAGGGAAGACATCCTAATCTCACTAGACCTGCAGCTTATGCGCAGCGTATTCTCGGAAAACTAGCTGATTTTTGCGGTCAACAATACTCACAACATGTGCGCTAAGAACATCTTTACAGCAATCTTAACATTCTCTTTGCCAAACAAGGATCTGGGGAGATGGCTCAGTGCTCAAGAGCACTTCTTGCTCTTACAACAGCCCTAAGTTCAGTTCCCAGTGGCTCCAAACCATCTATAACACCAGTTCCAGGGGATCCTATGCCTTCTGACCTCAGGGACACCAGGCACACGTGTGGTCCATACATACACATACATACATTTAGAAAAAAAATACCCAGATTCATAAACAAATCTTTAAAATTATTTTCATTAAAAAGACCCATACTTGACTCATTGAAACAATCAGATTGCTGACTAGGTGTGGGATTTAGTTCAGGTTCTATTTTCTCAAGCTTTTTATGCACTTGAGATGAGCCGAGATAGTTTCCCAAGGTATGCAGTCCACAAGGGTGTATGTTATAGATCTAGTCTGTACCCTTTAGACACTTAGTAAATAATCACCAATAGCCTTATGCTCTTGCCATTCACCGAGGCCTTCTAGCCAGCATGATTTCTGACTGATCTAATAAATAATTGTCACCAGGTATGTTGGGTGTTATAACTAGATGAGGTTAGCTTCTGTACATCTTTTCCATGGTGCTATGAAGACCTGTCAGTATAGTAATAGAGGAACAATTCTAGATCATGGTAGCTTTGAGAACTCTTTTAAAAGCATTTCTTCTTCAGCTTTTCTCTATACTAGCTTTTTAGGCACCATGCTTGTAATGTCTATAGAAAAAGGGTATTGCTAGATGTTGGACTCAGTCATTCAGTACTACATAAGACTGGAATAGGTGTCAAATCCACATGGCTCACGGGCTTCATCACCTTCATGCCATTTGCCTTCTCTTGAAATTGTCTAAGAAGTAACTTGCGTGGAAAAGACTGATGGGCATCTTTCATCTTTAATTGCAGAAAACAAACTCATTCCTCCTACCCACCCCATTCTCACGCACAAAGTCATATACTGGAGACTTTCCTGGCTTTGTTGTTAGTCAGATGAGCCAGTGAGCTCTTGCCCAATTTTTCTGTCTCAACATGAATTCAGTTTTTGCTTTTATGTTATTCTAAGATATTGCGGTACCCAAGATACCATAGAACTCTCGCTGCTTACATCCCGTGTATAATGCTTCCTTGTATGACTCATTTTTAATTGAAAAATCCTGACTTTATGCCCGTGAATAAAATGTTGCTACAAACATGTCACAAAGATAACTTGTGAAATAAAAATAAGGTATTTGTATATACAAATGGTCCCATAAAGAACTCTTTGTAAAAAGATGTGGAGTTCTCAAACCCACGTATTTCCACAGGTAGACAAAGGCAATACAGATGTAGAGATACAAAGGACAATAAAATTATTCCTGAGCAATATCTAGGCCCAACTCTTTTTCTCAGAGGTTTTATTTTAAGCTTATTTGTGTGTGGGTCTGTGCACATGAGTACCTGCAGAGGCCTAAAAAGGATGCTATATCCCCTAAGATCTGAAGTCACCAGCAGTTGTTAACTACCTAACTTGGGTAATGGGAGCCAAACTGTTCTGGGCAACATCAGCAAATACTCTTAATCACTGAGCCACCTCTCCCTTCCAAAGAACTCATTTTTATCATGTGATGGCAGTTTAGCATAACTGGGAATGAATTGGAATGAAAGGAGACCTATAAAATGAGCTTTTCTGCTTAGGTTGTTGTTATGGTGGTGAATCCACTTTTCTCTCTCACTTCTCGTTCTTGTAGTGTTACTAAGATACTAGAGCATTATAAATCAACGGCATCCTAAGGCATGTTCAGCATCATAAAAGCCTCGACTGGTTGAGATGTTCTAAGCCATAAAGACTCTCCTAGATTTCTCATTGCAACTTTCCAATAGTTGATAATTCATTGATTTTTTAGTAGGTATTTATTGAGTATCTACTGTATCTAGGATCTGAGAATGCAGCAAGAAATAAAACAATATTTCATCTCTCTTGGAATGCATAATTTGATTGGGCTTGGTGGAGGCGAACAATACACAAATCTGTCACATAGCAGACACAATAGTAATGAGAAGCACGCAGACGAAGGAGGGGACACTGAATGATTGAGTTAAAGGGGGTGGATTGTTCTAATTCAGCTGTATTTGTTGCATAGAGGTGAAGGGGGCAGAGGCCATCATGGGGTAGTGACTGAAGAGGGAGTAGCTTGGCTATTCTGAGGATGAGCCATACAACTGGAGTGGCTGGGGGAAGGTGAGCTGAGATCGCTGGTGCAGCCGTCCAGCTTGGAAAAGTTGCCAGGTAGATCATGCAGGTGGGGGTGATCTCCAATAAAACTTTCGGGACACTACCATCTTAATTTTATGTAAATTTTATGCACCGGGAAATGTGTTT